AAAATAAAAGCCCCTTTCACTCCGTTAAGTAAGGAAAAGGCTTCTGATGAGTGGGAATGCTGAATGCCTTATATGAACAAATTCATACTATACACTCACATGCCAAAACAAAGTATTCATGTGAGAGACAATGAATGACTACTCTATATTGATGGGAATATTTGGAGAAGGAAGGAGCACTTTGCATGTGGCTAGAAAAGGCAGAAGTATAGTTTGGTCAAAAATAAAAAAGCTGAAAACGTGATCATGTGTGATTCAAGAACTTGATATAATGAATAAAAAAAATTTGATATAAGTATTGTCAATAAAAAAAGATAAAATTAATGAGGATGTTATGAGAAAAAATATTGAAGGAGAGAGAAAAAATATTAAAATTCTACGTTAAATACCAAAATAAATTCACAGCCAGAGGAAGTAATTTTTGTTAACGCTGTTATTAATATTTTTTGTTGACATACTCTTTTTGTTCATTTTTATTTGCCTTTTAATATTTTACCGTATATTAGGAAATATAATTAATACTCCTCCTGTTCTTAATATAGGACTCAGTTGTTGAGTTGGTTTTGGTTCTAAATATAAGACCCATTTCTCATATTTATCAGTTTTCTCTAAATTACTTTTATGGATACTCCCTCAACCATAATCAAGTAGAAGAGGAAGATGGGGTATTAAGAAAGATGATTATGGTATTTTAGGAAAAATGTGTCACATTTCTTATAATTAATTAACTTACCTGACTTTTTTAATTTAATCAAATTAATTAAATGAGCCTTATATTAAGGATCGAGGAGTATGTTAGAATTCTTTTTAAATTTTCTGATATGTTTTTAATTTTTTAGTAATTAATTTGTGGACAGATTTTTAAAGTTAATGAAAATAATAGTATAATTAAAATAGTAATTAAAATATTTTCAAATTTTAAAAGGACAGATAGATAGAGATAATTTTTCCCCATAATGGACTGATATAGGGAGTAACTTATTAATATCAAAAGAAAACAGAGAGCAACTTATTAATTTTTTTTTCTGGAATACATTTATTTGGAATCATGTGTTAACAAATTAGATCATCCAGGAAAAGTTGTAATAAAAGAACTTTGAATATATAAAATAACACTTTGGTTTTTCAATTCACAAAATTGTTACAAGAGATTAGGTCTTAGGTATAAATTATGAAAGTTGAGAGAAAGATGCAAATGCCCTTCTTCTTTCTCTTCCCTTTCATCCTCTACTTTTCTTCCTTCTCATTTTCCCCTTCGTCTTGGCCATTCTTGCATGCATATGCCAGTGGCAGCAATGTCGGAGAGAAGGCAAGAGGCTTACCAATACTCTCATGCATCCTTCCCTTCTTGAAGCATTGGCGGCACTTGAAAAATTCGACAACGAGGGAGATTGAGGGTAGCAATCTATTAGGACGAAGAGCAGCGAAAATCCATTGTTGTGTAACTATGGTTTAGAAAATGAGATAGCTAGAGCGAAAGGGAATAGGAATCATAACAGGGTATAAATCTTCTTGTATGCCCTAATCATTTTATTTTGTTACAGACTTATAATTCTTTATTTTAAACCTGTTATTGAAAAAACCGAAATGTCTATTTTCAACTACAAAAAGAATCATTGAAAAATATTGTTATTTGACCATTTAAAATGCTTAAATCTCAAGACTACTCTATAATGTAGAGAGATATGATCTCCAACAATCATCGTTAAGGTTTCCAGGCCTCAAACATCTAAATTGAAATATTTTCATAATCATTTTCTCAAACCAATCATTACTTAATCAACACTAAACTTTGGGATTAAAATATAGTATGTTAAAAAAGTTATTCACAATAATAGAAATTTTAACAAAAATTAGTATTATTTTCACAATTTAGTTGTAAATGACAAGTTTAATATAAAAAATAACAAGTATTAAAAAAGGTATTCACAAATCACAATAACCTAAGCATTAGTAGAAATTAGCAATATTTCCACAAGTTTAGTATGAAAAATAATAAGTGTTAAAAAACTATTCATGCTAACTCAACTTAGAATAGAAATTGATATTATTTTTATAATTTAGTTTCTAATAATAAGTTTTTACTTAAAAATAACAACATTCTTATGGTAGGCATATTGTTTGCTTACTAATACTTATTTATTTTTTTATCTTCAAGCAACTAGTATAATTTGTTGATTTGAGAAAGATGAAAGTTGCATAAGACGCTAGTCAAATAACATTCCTTGCGTGGCCATGATTCTATAGTGGTTTTTTGATGTGTTTAATATTGGATCATGGCAGCATTATCCGAGTCCTTTTCCCATTCAATCCTCAGGCATTACGCGCTAAGAGCGGTGTGAGTACGGAATTAAGGGAAGGTACCATCGGCTTTTAGTATGATAAGTAGCGTCGGATACTCAGATTGATAACTTGAGAGGCACAACAAGATGCAAAAGACAGTCGCAGACTTTAGAGCCTTTCAGACTACTATGCCCACAATCCCAGCAAGAAGACAAATCATAGCCCATCTAACGACTCGAAAAAACCCAACCCCACAACTAAAAAATTTCAATTCCTGAGTTAGTCTAGTTGATAAGAAGTCAACTCATAACCTATCAGGTCTGAGTTCAAGTCCTGTTGTCGACATGAGAATCTTATTGGTAGATGATCTGTAAGTATCTTTACAAGTGCCTTTTGAACCTGAAAGTATGTTTTGGTCCTGGTAAGTTTCTGGGACCTAACTGATCTAACTTTTTTTATTTGTACCAAGATTAAAAAAAATTTCAATTCTTGCTTTTCAAAACTCTAAAATTTTTTCTGCTACAGGGATAAATCCCTTCATAAGTTTTTGTTTTCTTCAAGAAGATATCGAAAGTATGATTCAACGCTAAGAAAACAAATAAATCGAAAGAAAAATCACACGAAAATTGAATAGTAAACTGAAAGATGAGCAGCATAAACGAGGAAAACAACTGATTTGAGGTCAGAATCGATTAAAAAACAACTACATGTATATTTTTAAATCAATCGATTTCAAGAAATTAATAGGAACCGGTAGAAAAATTTGCAAATAAAAACCCCTTAATATGTAAAATTGCAATTTGAGACCCTGAATTTGGAAAATAACAAATAAGGACTGGGTCCCACTTTTACAAATATAAAATATGGGTGAAATATCTGAAATGTCCCTCAGTCAAATTGTGATTTGATCTACTGAAGTTATCATTCGTTAAAGTGAATTTGTCATTTCTCATAGTCAACTTGTCATTTGACATATCCTCAGCCAAGTTATGATTTGATCTACTGAAATTGTCATTCGTTAAAGTGAACTTGTTATTTCCCATAATCAACTTGTCATTTGGCTAAGGGGCATTTCAAGCATTTTACCGTGACTTCATAATTGTAAAAGTGAGACTGGGTCTTTATTTGCTATTTTTCAAATTGAGAGTTCCAAATCGTAATTTTACATATTAGAGAGTCTTTATTTGTAATTTTTCCTAACTAGTAAGTAAATTTGGAGATTAAAATCAATCCAAGCGAAGAGGGAAAAAACGGGTGATAAGCTAAAATTAGAAGCAAAAGTAGAGAGAGGGAGATGAATGGTTGGACCTGACAAAAGGGGTGAGAGACAAAGGCTTTGTTTGGATAGCACCCCAAACCATGGTTTGGAGAAAATGCTACCCAAACAGCCTCTCCAAAAACCAAAACCATGGTTTTGGGTCAAAACCATGGTTTTGACTCCAAAACCATGGTTTTGGAAAAAGCAAAATTTTCTTGCTTTTGGAGAAAAAAGGGAGAGTGTGAGGACCTATATGATATGTATCTTGTTATTTTTTTTTATAAATATATTTTTTTATAAATATATTTAATCTTATATTTTATAAATATATATAGACATTAATTATTTATTAATTATATTATCTTATGTATTATTAATTATGTTGGTAAAAAACATATTATTAACAATTTTATTTCTTCAAATTAAAATATATCATAAAATCTATTTTTTCTGTAATTATCATATTAACTTATGTCTTTTTTTTAGTAATTTGTATATATAAAAAGTGCTTCTGATAACAACTATCCAAACACTCTCACTTCTCAGAATCACTTTTTACAAAATCTATTCTTCACAGAATCTATTTTTTCCAGAATCTATTCTCCAGAATCACTTTTCCAAACCAAGGTTTGGTTTCATCCAAACACACCCAAAGTGGAAGAAGAAATTGCCAAATGTGTGCCATGAAGGCGGCGATGATTTCAATACAAAAGGACACTAATTTTGTTTCCGGAAAGATGTTTTTGTCTTTTCTTCATGATTTAATAATTCCAATTTAAGTTTGGGTTTCTTACAGGAATTATGTGAATTGGAGTACCTAAATTGGAATGTGATAATTTTCAGGGTCTTTAAATGCCATGTTCCCTGTCATCTGTGAGATTTGTTATCCCCTTCTTTATTTCCGAGAGAACATTGAATAGTTTTTACTCGAACCTAAATACAATTACTATCAATTACCATTTTTTTAAAAACTTTTTTAACCACTAGACTCAACACTTCTTTTGTGAGATTTGAATCTTGTTTGTAAAAGATTAACTTGTTAGATCCAATTCTTTTTTTTTTTCCTAATTTTTTTTTGCTATGTAAAGGTATTCTTATATCAGAGACAATTCTATTTGAAGTACTATCGAGTACTAAACATGAATATTTTTCTCAGTAAAAATTTGAGTTTTGCTTCGTTATGTTTTGAAGTACTACTTCTTTTTAATTTTTTTTTAATAACTTTTCTGTACACAGTGGATGTGGCTTTTCTTTTGGGCCACTTGAATAGTTATATATCTCGGTTTCCACTAAAACGTACGTCGCCGCTTTGGCAAAAAACCATTTTTTGGGCCTTCGAAAAAAACACGTGGCCATAATATGATCGAATTAAATGCAACGTGGGCTAAACTAAAATATAAAAAATTTAAAATGAGAACAAGTGCAACGGTGCGTTTCGGTGAGATCCATCATCACTGGGCCGTTCCTCGCATCGTCTTCCTCCTCGATCGTGCTAGGGTTTGCAGATTTACAGTTTATCGTCGTCTCTTCCCGCAGGGCATTCACGCCGGAGGCCATATTCTAGATGCGTAAAAAGTGCGATTTGTAGAGAAAAGACACGATAGATTATCTGAATTCTTTGTTTTTTGGATTTCGTTTGCTCGTGAGATCCAGTAACATCAATCATATCATGCGGAACGGTGAGTTCTGCATTCTCCGTTCAGGCATCAAGCATAGACTCTTGAGCTTGGTGTAGTGTGTTTGGAATGTGTTTATCTGGTAAATGAAAGGAAATACCATGTTAGCTGAATTTGTTTATTTTTATTTATGATGGTTGGGCGCTTTTGGCCGGTGGCATTATAATCATAGACACTTAATTACTTCTTCTCAAGGGTTAATTGGCTGGATATGCTGCTTTCTTGAGTCCCCTGTATGGCGAAATCTGAATGGTGTCAATGTAAATTTTTTAAGCAAGTTTTTCTGTCAAAATCTGTGATTAATTGGCTTAAGAAGCATTACTAGGGAAGGGTTACGCTTTCCAGATGCTTTCAATGGTTTAAACAGGTAGTTTTATTCTCTTCTCTATTCAGGAATATTCTAAGCTAGAATCAGAAGCTACTATGCGTGGTCTAATGAGGACTGTTATTGGTTAGGAGTCTTAGGCTCTTGCCTTTGTTATGTCATATAAGGAAAAAAGGAATATAGGGTAGAATTGCTTTGGATATTAATTTATATTTCATATTTCAGATAATATCAACGGGAAGGATGCTATTTCTTCTGATTCTGTCAACGAAGTTGTTCCTGGGTCAATATCGGAGGGGAAACAGGAAGTGACTGGTGAGAATTTGGGACATCTTATCTTCAACTTCCATGTTCAATCAATGTGCTGTTGTTCTTCTGTAATGTATACTTCCATTAAGGAATTGAGATTTACGGTTGTGAATAAACTTGTTATTATGCTCTGTCTTGCCAGAAATAAAGGCCCAAGTTGATGCCATGTGGCAAAACATGAATAAAGGAGTATCTAGCAAGATTCTCAGAAGTATTGTTAGCAAACATAATTCCACTGCCAAGAAAACTGCAAAGAAGACATCCACTGTAAGTTCTTCTTTTTAGCAATAAATCAAACACCCCCCCGGGGGGGAGGGGAGGCTCTGTTTTGTAGGTTGCTAGGTGTTTCTGAAAGAACATGGTTTCCTTTGGAATTAGCTTGAGCTTGATTTCTGCTTATTTATTTATTCTTTTGCCTGAGTTTGATTTCTCTTCACTTGATGTTTTTGGTCACAGAATTGGATGTCTTATTTGGGCATGGCACCAAAGGTAACTGAATCCCTTGGGCAAGATGCATCCCAGAAGGGAACTGTCACTATGGAGAGCAATACAAGTGATGAAGCCAAGAAACTTGCTGCTGCTGCTCTGGCAGCAGTTAAAGATGACGCTGCTGCTGCTGCTGCAGCAGCATCAAGCAGAGGGAAAATTTCAGTAAGCATTCCTTAAGGTCCTGTGATTGTTTTTTTTTTTTTGGGTGGTCTACAAATAATATTTATTGGTCGGCTAAAGTGGAGATGTAGGCTTGGCAATATTGTTCATCCAAAAAAGAAACAGAGAAGATGTGTATGTGATAATGCTAGATTTTTTCCTCTATTTTCAAGTCAGTGCAGCACCCTGAATTATATCAGGTAGTCTTTGACATAGATGTCATTTAGTTTGTGTATTGGTGTTCCAATATCTTTCTTGGTAGTTGGAATAAGGAACTTTTTTATTGTTTACTCTGGCGTTAGTTTGGGTATAGGTTGGTATGTTTTCATGTGCTTTGAACTTTAAGGTAGTCAACGTCACTGGCTTCCGTGTGTGACATCTATAAGCAAGTCATTTGTGTATCAATTCATGTTTATTTGTTTGCTTGGATAGATCACGGAAGTTCGGGACTTTGCTGGTAAAGAAATTGAAGTTAAAAAGCTTGTCGATGCTGATTCAAAAGAGGCAATAGAAAGAACCAAAGCTCCTGCAGCTTCTGCTGTGGATGTTATGCTTGAACAAATTAAGAAAAAACAGAAGCTCAGTGTACTTGATAAGACCAAAATGGACTGGGGAGAATTCAAGGAAGAAAATAAGGGAATGGAAGAGGAGCTTGATGCTTACAAGAAGAGTTCAAACCAGTATCTGGATAGGGTTTCCTTCTTGCAGCGAGCAGATTACCGTGAGTTTGAACGAGAAAGAGATGCACGCTTGGCTTTGCAATCAAGAAGGCGGCCAGACATGCGAGAAGATCCAGATGATTGAAGGATGTCTCGAGTTGCTAGTCTTAAGGATTATGGATGGATTTGGTTGGAAGTTGATTTCCAAGGGGCGAGCTATGGTCCCATCACTGGTCCTGGTTCTGGTTTCCTATGATGAAATAGTAACACAGATGCTCCAAAGTGACTTTATCTGAAGCAAGGAGAGATATGGACATAAAATGGTAATGACACCCACATGTTAGAAGTGGGATCTATTATTTTTTGCTTATCTTTCTCCTTACTGCTGATGAAATCACTATAGAAAATTCATTCTGGGTGAAGTAGACCTTTGATCGCTTTGATGGAGATTATATGCATTTGATCAGGTCTGAGATTGCAAAATGTTCTTAAATTACGCGTTACATGATTTGGATCCTTGGAAGGAAAGCCAGGAATATTTATCTGTCCCAACTCAATTTGTTTTGACAATTTCGTATATATATTTATTGGTTGCTCTATGTGACAAGGTATTTATATACTTCAGTGGCGGCAAACGCCCTCACACATGTTGACGAGGTCTTTAATGCGTCCTTTGGGCCAAAACAAAAAGTACGTCTTTTTCTTTCCCGGAGTTCATATCTGTTGATAGAAGTGCATCGGGCTGATGATAGGCAAATGCCTCTTTTCAAGTTTTAAGTTTTAAATGAGTATATGATATAAAATCTTAATGTTATAGTCTTCTCATAATGAATTTATTGAACCCAAATATAAGCAATTTAATATTTTAACTTAAACCTTTTTTTAATTAATATTATAAATTTATACTACGTATTATTTAATATTTTGCAGTCTTCATACATATATTTCTTCTAAACTTAATCTTTTTTTTATATATTTTATTTTCACTCGATAATGTATTTCCTTTTAAAATATTTTGAATTATTATTCATTAAATTATTATATTTTTTAAACGACATGGTATTTCCCCACCCTATATTCTGATAAAGTACTACATAAAATTGAGCATGCATGAATTTATATTCTCATGTTGTACCAGAAAAATAGAGCTTGTCGATGATAACCTGAAAAACAATACTTGGTACACTTCTCATAAAATTTAAATGCATTTCTAGAACTTGAATAGAGAAAAATATTGATAGGAAGTCAATGTGATTGTACTTAATCTAAATTTTCTAATATTTTTAAAAATATATTATTTCCCACAATTAAAAAAGGTCCTGACTGCCATTGGAAAGAGAAGTAATAACCAAAAAGGAACTCTTAACTTCAAAGTGACAGTACATACTACATATTTACCAGGGTCTTGGTTCAAGATATAAATCCCGAGTCTCCTCCCTTCCCTTAGAAAGTTTTAGGTGGAAGTTAAAAGCACTTGTTTCTCCAGTAGTTTGAGTTCAATTCCCAACCTTCATGGAAGAAACAACTTGGTTAATAATTAAGATGGGCTTTACTGTTCACATTCAATATGATGTTAGTCTTTGTTAAGGCTTGAAGATATTCCTATCCTAATGTCTCACGAGGGGAAAACACTAAAAGGAAAAAACTTTCAGCGGAAGAAAATTAAAGTCTCAATGAAACTTTCATTTCTCTTTCCCTCCAATATCTCCGTTCAAAAGCTTACCAACTTAATCGTATGGGGCAAAGAAATACTTTGGTTTTGGCAGTCAATCTCTGCGATTCCGGATCCTGGTTGCCCTTGGATATGCCACCCTCAAGTGAAGCTTGTGCACATGGGCAGTCAAAAAAAGTATTGCATTGAGAGAATAAAATGAACACAGTTACTCTTGTTATTATGAATATCAGTAAATTATTAGAAATATAAGCAAGTGAAGAGCCAATCAGGATTTAAACACCTGAATCTGCTTGGAACACAAGGTAAAAAATGTTGGGCAAAATGGAAACCAAGTAACGAGGTGATCAAATGTGAATGGGCTTGTCAAAAGTGGCCATTGCAGCTTCTTTTACAGCCTCGCTCATTGTCGGATGTGCATGGCAAACACGTGCTATGTCCTCACTTGATGCACCATACTGCAAGGCTACGGCCGCTTCATGAATGAGCTCTCCTGCATTGGGTGCCATAATATGCACCCCCAAAATCTTGTCTGTCTCCTTTTCAGCCAATATCTTTACCAGTCCTTCGGCATCATCGATTGCCTTAGCCCTACTATTAGCCAAGAAAGGGAACTTCCCCACACAATACGCAATTCCAAGTGCCTTCACCTGCTCTTCAGTCTTCCCAACGTATGCGACCTCAGGATGTGTATACACAACCCCAGGGACCTTGTCATAATCGACATGGCCAACCTTACCAGCAATGTACTCTACACAAGCTACCCCATCCTCTTCTGCTTTGTGTGCTAACATTGGACCTGGAATCACATCTCCAATTGCATAAACTCCAGGCACATTTGTCATAAATTTTTCATCAACTAAAATCCGTCCCACCTTGTCAGTTTCAACTCCAATCTTGTCCAACCCAAGTCCAGCTGTGAATGGAGTCCTACCAGCAGATACAAGAACAACATCTGTTTCGATAGTGCTCGTGTCACCTCCATCTGCTGGTTCAATTGTCAGCTTCACACCGTCCCCAGAAGCATCCACTCCTACCACCTTAGTTTTCAGCTTGAATTTCATTCCTTGCTTTTCAAGAGAACGCTGGAACTGCTTTCGAACTTCCCCATCCATGGTTGGAACAATATCTGGGGCGAACTCAACAACAGTTACCTCAGAGCCAAGTCGGCCCCATACTGATCCCATTTCCAGCCCAATATAGCCTGCCCCAATGACCACAAGTCTCTTGGGGATTTCCGACAAAGAAAGGGCACCAGTTGATGATACAATTTTCTTTTCATCAATAGGGACACCAGGCAGAGATTTCACATCAGAACCAGTTGCAATTATAATATTCTTGCCTTTTACAACAGTATTCCCACCATCAATGGTGTCCACAGAGACTTCGGATGGGGAGGTAAATTTGCCATATCCTTTCACATAGCTTACCTTATTTTTCTTGAATAAACCTTCAATACCGCGAGTAAGATTAGACACAGCTTTATTTTTCTGCGCCATCATGGCTGGCAAATCTACCTCAACAGATTGAAATTTCACCCCATGGCTGGCAAATGCATGTGTTGCCTCGTGGTACATATGGGAAGAATGCAGCAGTGCCTGAACCAAACCATCAAAAAGACTGCCAATAAATAAGTATTTTGTCTAAAAATAAGACTTCATCCATTATTGTTTTTTTCAGATGTGCACCCTCAATTTTCAGTTCATGATACGAGGATAAAAAAGGTTACTTGACTCAATTTTACATTTGGAAATAAAACAACTTGATGAAACATCAACGCAAGTCTACAAATGCAAAACGATTTGGTATGACAAATCATGTAAAGTACAAGTATAAAATAGCTGCAACTCAGATTCTGAAGTAATGAGGAAGGGTCTTAAGGGCTCATGTCCATTTGATAATCTCTCTAAGATGCAAATTATGCTCCAGTGCCCATATCCGAACTTTGGTATTGATATATGTGATCAACTCATTCTTTCAATAAGGGGCATGGTATATAAAGCCCAGATATATAGCCGAGGAGAAAAATGAATCATCCAAAATTCTGAGACAAAACTGGCCAAGTCGGACAAGTCATACAAGGTTTATCAAATCACAGACAAGAGACATCGAAATCCATATTCATACTTCTTCAAACCTTCTCGATATCACCGCATTACTAACTTTATCCTTTCTTGAGCTAATGAGACTGCCCTTGATGCAAACAACCGGCGTCCATAGGTTAGAAATAGTATGATTCACAACTGAGATTACTAATGCTCGCCTAAGCTATTTGTACCCTAAAAAGAAAAATCTCTTTTCCAGAAAATTCTTTGTCAAGCAGGACAACAATTTAATACCAAGAAGTAAACCGGAGAGCTGGATTGGTCAAACAAAGGAAAAAAAAAACCCGTAAAAAGGCAGAATTCAACTAGAAGAAACTGGACAGGATACTCCATAAGGTTCAACCGTAACAACTGACAAGGAAATTCAGACACATAAGTATTCTTCCATTAAATGCAAAAGCATAGATTACCTTGGACGGGATGCAGCCAACGTTAAGGCAGGTGCCACCAAGGGCGCCACGCTTCTCGATACAAGTGGTCTTGAGACCAAGCTGAGCCGCTTTAATGGCGGCGACATACCCACCAGGGCCACCACCAATGACGACGACGTCGTTTTCGTCAGATCCCGAAGCGAATCCCCTGGAGAAAGAAGCTAGAGACAGGGAGTACCTGAGAGTCTCCGGGGATAAATTTCTCGACAGAAGGTAAGCCTTCCGTCTAGCGAAGCTTGCCATAGCCATGATTGATCGTCGCTTTCTTCTTCTTTGGTCTCCGACCACTCAGTGTAAGATAAAGAAAACCCTCGCTTGTCTTTCTTGAAGACGAACAGTGACCAGAGAAATGTTCTTTGGTTCGTGTGCATTCGTCATCTTCCTCGTCGATTATCAGTTATGAATTAATATTATTAACTAATTAACTAATTAATTAATAATGGAGTACCACTAACAATCATCGTCATGATTTTGGATGAAAATTTCCCACCAGTAATGTTATTCGTTTTACGTTAAAAAAATAATTAATCAATGTAATATGAGAGATTAAAAAAATTAGTTAAATTAGTTATTTGTAATAAATTTTAAAATATCTTTATTAATCATGTGTGTTGGAATTATAAATTAATAATAAGTAATTAACATATACAATTACTGTATATATTACTTGAGAAAAAATAATTTATTACTATTTAAATTTAATTAGCTATTATCTTAAGTAATTCATCTTATGAAATAAACTTTAAAATTACATGTTCTGTAATTTTCATTTGACTTCTAATAAGATCTCTACATTGAAGTTTTTTTGAACACTTAGTTTCACTTTCACGTGATAAAAACTAACTACAAAGATACTATTAATATAAAGACTTAATGAAAAAAATATATAGAAACTTGATTAAATGTGAGGTGAAATTATCGAAAATTTCAGATTAATTTTCCCAAACAATTGTAAAGAAGGTAATTACTTCTTTTAATTGAACTTAAATCTTAATTTGTCATATTATAACGGATTAACC